TTATCTTTTTTCTTTGCTATATATTCCCATTAATAGGCTACTCCGAAGATAAGCTACTCTCTATATATGTATTTACCTGTAAAACATCAATTAATAAAATGCACAAGACCATTTTGCCCTTGTTTTACACACCATATTTGACCGAGATGCATGTAAAGAACTACGCATCTATTGTATGGAAAAAATCTGTTGGAATCCAAATGTTGTGTTCAAATCTCCTGAATTTTTAGACTTTGATAGTTCAATTTTGATTCACATACTTAAACAAGACAACCTACAGATAGAAGAAACTGATATTTGGGATCATCTGATTCGTTGGGGAATTGCTCAATCATCTCCTTCGGATCCAGATGTGTCAAGATGGTCCAAAGATGACTTTCTTAATTTACAAGAAATATTAAAAGATCTCATTCCCCTTATTAGATTTTCAGAAATTTCTCATGAATACTACGATAAAATTTTTCCATTTAGAGATATTCTTCCTTTGACTTTAAAACATGATATAATAACTTTTCTCGATAGTAAATGTCTTCCAAATTCAATATTACCTCCCCGTTGTCCAATAATCTCTATCGATAGTAATATAATCTTACCTCAACAAGCGTTAAAGATTCCGGAATGGATTGATCAAGTACAAAAAAACTATTATATACCTTTTTCACGTCTTCGTTATGATTTTAAATTATTGCTTCGCGGTTCTCGTGACGGATTCACTCCACAAATTTTTCATGAAAAATGTGATAACAAAGGTCCAAATTTAGTGGTACTTAAAATTCGTGGTGATAATCAAGTTATCGGAGGTTATAATCCAATCGGATGGCGAAGTTTGAAGAAAAACAGATGGCAATATACGAAAGAAAGCTTTTTATTTTCATTTGGCAATCGTGGAAATATCGATGATGCTAAATTGAGTAAAATTCAACCTGGAAACGAAGCTATCTATGATGATCCTTCCTTCGGCCCATGTTTTGGAAAAACCGACCTAGACATGCGTAGACAATTTAATGAAAAAGATAATTGTTCTGCTAAAAAACGATCCTATAAACATACTATTATTAATTCTACCGAATTTGTTGTAGATGATTATGAAGTTTTTCAGGTTTTTTGTTACTTGGTAAGCCCGGAATAAATAATATTACTAGGGTATTATTATTACAAATACCCCCATGATCTTGATATAGTGATCCGGGTATTTTATGATTTAAATAACTATATATTTACATTTTAACAAAAAACAAAAAAAAAAAACTTTTCATTCTATTAATTAATTATTTGAATTATTTGTTTGTAATTTCAACAAATTTAGAATAGCTTCTGTATATATTTCTCTATTCTTTTACATGAACTCTTTCCCAACAAACCGATTATTGCGACAGGTGTTATATATAAAATTGATGTTAATAAATTAATTATTATTTATTTCATGAGTTAAACCACGTAATTTCTTCAAATCATTCAGCAAAGATTAAAAATTTTTCTCGATTATTTCTCTTGTGAACTTTGTAACACTTTAAAACTAACAGTATTATTTGCATATAGTAGAAAAAAACATCTCACGTGTAAATATACAGAATTTCAAACCCGATTCTATATATTCTGAAAGAATTATTTAAATTATTAACGTTAATTCATATATTTTAACGCCTGAGATATGGTTTTCCGTTTTCTAACCACAATGTAAACCATATCGATATACTCCTTATCGTTATGTGTAGGAATGTTAACAGTCTGTCTGGTTTATTATGGTCTACAGTTTTAGGACTTTGTTAGTCCAGACCGGTCCAGACTGGTCTTAAGACTAACTGTTGTCTAGTCTGAGACCAGACCATATTCCTAATTATGTGTTAGCCATGATGCACAAATTTTACTCAGGAAATTGTGCATCACGTATCAAAAATGACCAATAAGATGCTAGGTCACATCAGAAATATTGAACGTACGTACGTACGTACGTACTTGTTAGCATCACTATTTCTCTCGCCAGTGTGTACTAGTTTCAAATGTTAACTTATTCCCGATAGTTAATGTTTAACGTTACAAAACACAATATGAAAATATCATTCTTCAAACAAATTTCTTTTACATAACACCTAATTTTTCTGGTCTGACGCTGATGGTTGATTATCGCTGTAGTGTTCTTACCAAAATAAGTGACAGATGGTGGTGCATGAATTTTGTGGAACTTTCGGCAGAAACGTGGTGGTTTATTGAGCTGGCTGGACTAATCCAGGTTACCCAACAGCAGGAACACGGAAAATTAGCCAATATTAAATCTTTAACTTAGATATTAAAACTGGTGAGGGATTATATCCATCACAATTGAATCCAATATAAATAATTTAATTTGTGATTGATCACAGG